GTTGTGCATGATCCAGAGGTTGGGCGGCCGCCCCTTCGCTGCCCAGAGCAGGTGCTGATGTGTTGTTCATTGCTGTGGTTCCTGTGTCTCTCCTCAGCCGCTGATGGTAACTCTCGGCAGCTCCTCTGCGGAAGCCGCGTCGTGTCCCTTCCCTGGGTGTTGATACGGTTTGGTTCTGTGTCCCACCCAGTCTCATGTGGGACTGTCATTCCCAGTGTTGCAGGAGGGGCCTGCTGGGAGGCGATGGGATCACGGGGTGGGTTCTCAGAAAGAGTCCAGCACCACCCCTCTTGGTCCTGTGCAGGGAGTGAGTCTCCTGCGATCTGGTGGCCTCCGTGTGTGGCTGCCTCTCTCCCTCCTCTCCCTCCCAGCTCCCAGCTCCTGCCCTGTGATGGGCCTCCTGCCCCTGCCCCTTCCGCTGTGACTGTGTTTCCAAAGGCCTCCCCGGAAGCCGAGCACATGGCAGCACCATGCCACCTGCCCCGCCTGTGCCACCCGGAGCCAGTTAAAGCTCTTTTCTCTATAAATGACCCAGTCTTGGGTGGTTCTTTACGGCAGTGTGAGAATGGACTGCTTACAGGGGTGATAAGGGCAATCTGTGACATTTGCCAGGATATTTTTCATATTGTTTTAATTCTGAGATCATGAATGAGTTTTACATGAACACAACTAAGAGTTTGGGAACACATAGAACAGGATGGCCTAGCACCTAGAGAAAACAACAGTCTGGTATTTTTGGGTTACAAAAGTTATAAAAAGCAAACTACGCATTCTCTACAGAACACTCCAGCGAAATAAAACATCCTGAAGCGAAACGTTCACAGCCCTCCCAGGCCACTGTTGGCATCCATGGGTGAGACCATTAAGTGCTGCGTAGATGGCCTGTTTCATCCATGATTAGCTACTACTCTCTTCTTAGTGGAGGTAGAGCTCCAGGTCAGATGCGCCTGCGTTTGCTTTCAATGCTGAAGGACCCCTGACTATTTCCTTGGGTGAGGCTGAGAGCTGCCTGGGCTGGGACCCAGCACTCTGGAATTCAGCTGCTTCACACATGAAATGAAGACAGCAGCTTTACAGGGTCAGCATGGCTAACGGTGCCCCCCAGGCTGCCTAGTTGAGTCAAGGAGGGGGATTCCTCCGGCATCACTGGGCTGTGTTCCCCATGAGTGAGGGGGATGAGGAGGGGTGAGAGCGGCGCGCAGCAGGGCGGCTGCTGGAGGCAGAAGCCTGGGGTCTGAGGCTGACATGTTGGTGAATCTCTGGAGGATGAGACAAGTCACTCTGCCCTGTTGGTCCTTCAGAATCAAGGTGCCAGCCTCTCCCTCAGAATCACTTTCCTCCTCCCACCGGCCCTGCAGGAAGCCAGGAGTGCTCTTCTCAGGAGAAGAGGGAAACCCGATGCAGGCCCTGCGGACACCTGGTGATGGGCAGCGGGTGTGGAAATGCCAGTGCCGGAGGGACCGCCGGGGCAGAATGCAGACGAGCACAGCGTCAGAGACACCAGAAGGTGGAGATAGGATGATGGCAAGAGTAGTGTTTCCGGGGTTCGCAAAATAAAGATGTGTAATCTGTAAATACATTTTAATGGCAAAGCCCCAGAAGGAACAAATCAGGCAATGCTTACAAGAAAAGGCTAGACAAATGCAGTTACAATATTTATTCATCCATGCCTGAGAGTAATTACAACATGGTGCTAGATTTGCACGTGTTTGGAAAATAGTCGTCCTGGTGATTTTGGATTTGCCTGTGTTTGGAAAACAGTTGTACGGTGATTTTGGGAACACGAAGCTGTTCTGTGGGATCAGTGTCCTGCCTGTTTGCCCTCAGAGGGCTCTCGGCAGCCTGTGAGTATCCTGGCCTTCCATCCCGGCACTCTCCTGCAAAAATGCAGAACAAATATTAATAACATCTGAATTTTGACTGCTCCGGTAACAGCACACACTTGATACAAGACAGAAGGGTCCGGACAGGAGCTGTTTTCACAAAGGACTGCTGGCAAGATGAACCATCCTTCTTCCTCATCATGCCAGAGGGAAGTTTCTGGCTCCCGGACGAACACTTGTTTGCAGGAGGCCACAGAGGATCCACGTGGCAAAGGTTCCTACTCAGAGTGGGATCTGCGATTCGCAGGCAGGTCCTTCAGGAAGAAGGCGTGCTGAGCACACAGGTCCCTGCAACCATGGATGCACAGAACAGCTGGCCTTGCCCCTGGTGTCAGTCAGGCTAATTAGGGGCCCAGGAGACTTGCTGGCACTACCCTTGCTGTGGCTAACAAAGGTATCCTGGGTGCATTTAAATTCACAAAGAGCCTCACTCCCAGGCCAGGTCTTTTTGGTTCCATGTGTGAGGGCCAGGTGCAGACGAACCTGCTCTCAGCAGAATGACCCTGGGCTCTGCTCTCTCCGAGGACAGGATCTAACTTCACACTGAATTTCAGAAGGGAGCCTGATCATGCTGGCAATGCCCCCTCCTGTATGCAAGTGACTTTGTTTAAATTAAAATTTGTATTTTTAGTTGACAAATAATAACTGCATATATTTATGTTTTAAGCATGGTTTCGATACCTTTACATTATGGAGAGATTATATCAAGTTAATTAACATATCACCTCACATCTTTTTTTTGGCAGTGAGAACATTTAAAATCTATTATTTTAGTGGCTGGGCATGGTCCCAGCACTTTGGGAGTTTCAGACTGGAGGATCTCTTGAGCCTAAGGGCTCAACACCAGCCTGGGCAGCGTAGTGAGACTGCATCTCTGCAAAAATTTAAAAACTAGCCAGGCAAGGTGGTGAGTGTCTGTAGCCCCAGCCATGCGGGCGGCTGAGGCAGGAGGGTCAAGGCTACGGTGAGCTATGATTGTGCCACCGCACTCCAGTCTGGGTGACAGAGCAAGACTCTGTCTCAAAAACAAAAACAAAAAACCTGTTATTTTAGCAATTGTGAAATACGTGATCATTATGACAAAGCGTGTGCCCCATGCGGTGCAGCAGATCTGAGGCGTCCTCCTCCTGCCGGAGACTCTGTGGCTGTGACCAGCATCTCCCCATTGCCCTCTGGAGGCCACTGTGCTGCTCTCTGCTTCTCTAAGTTCAACAGTCACTTACACAAGTGACTTTTTAATACGCCCTCACTTGGGGTGCTGCATACAAGGTAAAGTTGGTAAAACATAAACATTTTTCCATACTGGTTATAACGATTCCACTTAAAAATCAGAATTTAAAAGTCAGCATTTTGTTTCAGCTTCTCCTTCCTCTCCTGCGCTTCCAGCCAGTCCTCAGAATAAGTGGAAGCCAACGCCTGAAAGTCAGCCCTTAGTTTTGGAACCGGTTTGTACAAACGGAAGGCATTTTCCTTCCTCTCACTAAGCAGGCTCACATTCTGGCTCATTGTCATTAACTTGTAAATAAAACCTCCAGGACGAAAGTGCAGAACGGACTGAGAACCAAGGGGTACACAGAAATGTGCCGGGAGCCTCGGCGGAGCTGCTCCTACACTCAGATCTTGTCCAACCACTGCGGGGGCAGCTGGAAACATGCGGCCTGGTGTGGCCTAGGGAGGTCCAGGCCCACCTGCTCCGAGTCCTGAGCTGCGGCGCCCTGCGGCGAAGTCCCTGCACCCTGGTGCTTCCCGCATCTCAGCCGGGGAGTTCCTCCGCCTGTCTCCGAGATGGGCAGTGTGGGTTTAGTGCCAGCGCGTGTCCTGTGGGAGACACGTGTCCAGTTACCGGGAGAGGGCCCGGCACCGTGACTGTGGAGGGGAGAGCCCGGCATGAGCGAGGGCACGGCGGCCACGCTTGTCTTTGGCAGGAACACTCCAACCCACTTCCATTTCCCACTTCAGTCAAGTCAATCATGATCTGATACATTTTGGAAAACTTGGCACCGTTCTCTTCATAGGGAAAACGGTCTTAGCATTTCGCAGCCAGGAGGACCCTGTCTCCATGCAGCTGGGCGGTGGCTTTCTCACAACAATCACGCAGGAGACACGGGCTGCGGTGAGGATTTCCACCCCCGTCACTGCCAAGAGATGCGTCCAAGTGACAGGCAACGTTAAGCTTTTCCTGGGTCAGGGCGTTGTCCCTGTGCAGGCAGAGGGCCCGAAACCACCTTCCACCTGAGCCTGAAGACCCCAGCCCAGACCTGGAGAAGAGCGGGGGGAAGCGCCGTCCCAGGGGAGCAAGGATAGAGGCCCCCGGTCTCCGGGAGGCGTGGAGAGCTGGGGCCGGAGCAGGAAGGGACGCTCTGGTGAGACTGGGACCTTTTGAGAAGGGAAGAGCAAGTTACCCAGAAACGCATCAAAAATACTGTGGGATTTAACTGTAAGTACAAAACAGCTTTTCCATCAGAACTTAACAGCTACTGTAATTTCCAGCTATTTGTTTGCCTTGATTCGAAGTTTTTACCTGCCCCCGGCCCCATTCCCCAAACACTGAGCTGCTGGACTCCTTCCCCTGCCTTGGCGGTCATTCATCCCTGACCTCTGCATGGCGCCATCATCACGGGTCCTGAGCATTCCTGCCCGCCTGCCTGAAGAGGAACACAGGCCCTGGAGGTGGCTTGACCCTGTGTCAACGTGGCAATGGCAGACAATACCGGAGGT